CCTGATAGTCTTTTGAGCATCTTGTCAGATTAGACTGTTCCAGGAAGGTGGTCCGATCAAGATTGTGGAGATCCTGAGAGATCAGCACATAGTGGGAGAGCATGCAGTTTGCACATCAAGGAAACTTTGCACATCAAGGAAACTGCAACATTCCTCCCTGATCGCCATCAGGTTCTCATAGCAGAGAATGGCCCCCATCAAGTTTGGTGCCTCAAGCGGGTTCGGTTTCAGGTTTGTAAGGTAAGTGGAATTCAGGGCAGAGTTTGTCTTGTCCTCCATTTTTGGTGACCATTTCATTCCCTTATAATAGGATTTCTTTCTTACAGTGTTACCTGAGTGAACTGGTGTGTTGGAAATGGGTTGTTCACATTTTACTGCAGTGATGAGGGGGATATGGTCACTGTCTATTTGTGCCCCAACATGGAAGTTGACCACCAGGCCACTCAATAATGGAGAGGCTAGTACATAATCGATGGCACTGCTTCCCACCCCCACCCCCCCCGGTGGGAGTGGAATGTAAATTTAGAATAATTTCCCCAGTTCCCATGGAGAATCTGGCCAGACAGAGCCCTGCTGGGTTGACCTGATAGTCTTTTGAGCATCTTGTCAGATTAGACTGTTCCGGGAAGGTGGTCCAATCAAGACTGTGGAGATCCTGAGAGATCAGCACATAGTGGGAGAGCATGCAGTTTGCACATCAAGGAAACTTTGCACATCAAGGAAACTGCAACATTCCTCCCTGATCGTGTTTCCATTTCTTAAAGAAAGACCAGGCAAAACCTTTTTGTGATCCAGCTGCAGAGCCAGAGATTGGGAATTCCATCCCCCCACTGTTCCTCATTGACAAGGGCTGGACTTGACGATCCAGAGGTTCCCATCCACTTCTGTGGTTCCAGATTATTACTATTATTACTATGATGGTAAGGATGTGTTCATAGGATTCAGAAACAGAAAAGGGGGGAAGGAACATGAAGACATTGGTTTCTTCACATAAGCCCCAAGCATCAGCATCTTCTGGAGGTGGTTGGGGGTCCATGTGTGCAGAATGTGGGTGATCTATGGGGAACGTGGGAGTCACGGATGTGCTGTACAGAAGATGGGACACCTCCCCAGGTTCTGTCATAGTTCCTGGGATGTAGCAAAGCAAGCCTCAACCACAAACAGAGGCAAATATTTGTAAGTCAAAGGAAACCCATGGAGAAATGCAGCAGGCTTACTTTGCCCAAATGGGGGAGCTCACCCCATGAGTGAGCACAAATGAGTAAAGAGGAGGTAAAAACCAAATCCAAGCCCCATAGTCTCCCAGTCAGAACCCTGATAGGACACCTGATTTTCCCAGGAATTCTAAAGAGATTTATACACCTCCAGGGCAAAGATCACAAGCCTATGGTTCATTGTAGCTGATGTCATCCAAGTCAAGGTGGAAGTAGACAAACATTGACAAGTATTTACAAACTCCTCTCGGCATCTAGGTACAAATCTTTTCATTGTAGCAATAATTTTATTTATTTTTATTTATTTGTTTAACTTATATGCCGTCTCTGGGCGGCTTACAACAATTAAAATACAACAAAAAAGATAAAACAATTAAAATACAATTAAAATAGATACTCTAAAAATTGCCAGCAGGACCCACAGTTGATACTATTTTTTGTTGTTGTTTAGTCATTTAGTCATCTCCGACTCTTCGTGACCCCATGGACCAGAGCACGCCAGGCCCTCCTGTCTGCCACTGCCTCCCGGAGTTGAGTCAAATTCATGTTGGTAGCTTTGATGACACTGTCTAACCATCTCGTCCTCTGTCATCCCCTTCTCTTCTTGCCTTTACACTTTCCCAATATCAGGGTCGTTTCCAGGGAGTCTTCTCTTCTCATAAAATGGCCAAAGTATTGGAGCCTCAGCTTCAGGATCTGTCCTTCC